GTTGAAATGAAAGTCTGGAGATCCTTCCCAGGGCGCTGCGGGATGCCGTGCGATGTTAGCACTGTCAGGCGTGCAAGCAGGGTGGCAGTGCTGAGACCTGGCACGTGTTCACCCTGGTAGAGCTGGCTGCGTGGGGGTTTGCACTAGGTGAGCACCAGCTGCAGTCTCTCCTGGGGGGGTTGCTAGCATGCACCTGGCTCTATTTCCAGCAAGGAAAATCTTTCCTTTCATTTCCCCTGGCGATTCCTGGGGGCTGTTCTAGGGCAGGACTGGCCACGTAGCCCTGCCTGGGGCTGTATTAGTGCAGGCTCACCCACACCCTCCTGGGAGGCATTCAGGGCCTGAGAAAAAAGGCTTGCAGACAAGCTATATGCGCAGTGCAATGCCTCCGGCCCTGGGCATGCTCTCGGGAAGGGTGCTGGGGGCCTGGGCTGCATGGCACAGGCTGGGCAAGGGCCTGGATCAGTGCTCCTCAACCAGGTGCTGTGGCACCCTGGGGTGTCCTGAGATCCTGTCAAGGGTACTGTGCAATGTTAGGGGCACACATAGGATTCGTAAGATAATTCGAGATATTTCAAATAAGACCCCAGGGTGTGATGCAGATGCAGCGTTGTCCTGGTCTCCCCAAGCTCTTTGCAACAGGAGAATTGCTCTATTGTTTTTCTGTAGTCAACAACGGAATGAAAAGTAAGACCTGGCCTTTCCCAAGGGGGCTCGAGCCTAAAAAAGTTAAAAACCATGGGTCTAGAGTCTCCTTGGGAAGCTGGGGGTTTTATCCAGCAGCCAGGTTTAGTGCTGGGGGGGAAGGCAGGAAGTCCTTCCAAGCACGGAGCTGGGAAGTGGGGGACCCCCACCTCGAGTCTGCAGCACATGCACAATGCAGTTTTGGGAAGGTTGCTTGGCTGCTCCACGCTTCAGTTTACCTGCTTCTCTAGCAAGAGGAGTCCCTTCCCCCAGGGGCGAAGAGCACTGGGAGCTTGCTGGTGTCTCAGCAGGGAGTACGATGCTCGGGGCGGGGTACAGCTCAGGCTGCAGCCTTGCTCAAACCCAAAGCAAAGCACCAGTGGCCCCGACCCCCAACTGTCCACAGCCCCAGCCCCCCGGCAGCACTTGCACTCGCTTCACAAGCTGCTGGCAGGCAGAGGGGAAAGCACGTCCCCGAAGCCCTTGGGAAACGGCCCGGATGGGGCGGCAGGGCAGAGGTCCTGGGACCGGGGCTGTGATGGGGAGGAGCTCACGTGCACAGTTTGGTCTGGGAAAGGGAGCTGCAAATCTGTGATAAATAAAAAATCCCACAAAGGGGACCGGGGAGGGGGGGATCCTGGAGTCTCACGGGGAGCAGCCCCTTCTTTTCCTGTCTTAAACCTTAATTCCTCCTCTGCTTTCCATGGGAGACAGGCCTGGGCTCCCCCCTGCCCAGACCCCTCACCCAGCCCTGTGGCATGGTCTGGGTCTGCTCTAGGTCCCAGCGACCAGCTCAGGCTTATTGCATCCGGCAGCCCAAAAAACTCAGTCCCTTGTCCCCCTGCCCAGCTCCACAGGCGCTCGTGCTGTGCAACCGCGTGAGAGCAGAGCGGACCCAGGATGAGCCTCAGACTCCCTTGACTTGTCCCCGGTGCTGTGGGGCGCAGGCTGCTGTGGGTCCGGTGGGGGAAGAGAAGAGCCTGGGTGGGAGGGCGCCAGCCCGGGGGGCACAGTCTGCCCGAGCGTGTCCCAAGCAAGGAGATGTTTGCTGCGCAGGGCCGGCCGGCCGCCCGAGAAGGGGAGAAATAGCTGCGGGCAGCAAGCGAGCAAGCGGCCGCGCGGCCTTTGGCTCCCTGCTTGTTTCTGTTCCGTGGCCACGCGGGCCCGTCCCGGCTGCGAGGCGCCGGGGGAAACCTCCCTGCTTAATGCATCTATGATGAAGTGCTCCAGGACCCGCGCCCGGCCTCTCCTCTCCCCTGCCCTCGACTCCTGCCGCCATGCGGGTCCGACTCGGCGGCTGTTGTCCTTGGCTTGGCCCCAGTCTGTGCTTCGCATCCCAGCTCGGCCCTGGGGCCCAAGGGAGGAATTAGCAAAGTATCTGGTGTCAGCACATTTTTGACAACTGGGCCCCTGTGGCAGGCCCTCGTCCCCTCCCTCTGCCCTCTGCTCCCTGCCCGGGTCGGTCAGGGCTGTGCCACCAGCCATGGCTGGAGTCGTTCCTATTGCAAACTCCGAGCTAGGGCCCCAGCTCCCAGCCCAAGCCCTTGGGCGCAGAGACCCGACCAAGCCAGGAGAAAGACCCCCAACCGCTTGCAAGTGCTGCCCGGTGGCTCCCCCTGAAATGGGCTCGTGATACGGTGCAATCCCTCAAGGGGCGCAGCAAGCAAGGTGCTCTGGGTTCACATGCAAAGCCCGTGAGCTCCCAAAGCACCAAGCTGTCGTGTGTCTCAGTGCAAACCCAGGGTCTGGGTGGGGATCCGTGCTCCAACCCAGGCTCTAGCGCTGCCTCTGCGGTGCCGTGCACAGCACTCAATCCCAGGACCTCCCTTGTCCAGCTGAGAAATGACAGGTCCCCCCCAGCGGGGTCCTTCGAGGATTGACTCCCCAGCACTTGAGGGGCTCGGGTTCTGCGGGGGGGGGCTAGCAGGCGGTCGCACCGTACGTGGGGTCAGTAGCGCGTCGTTTGCTAAGAGGCTGAACCGTGCGTTCGTCTGGGATGGTTTGGATAGGACGGGTCCTGCCTCTGGCAGGGGTCTGGACTAGATGCGACCTCTGGAGACCTTGGAGACTAACTTGTTCAGCCTTTTGTAGGCTGCAGTCTAGTCCCTTAGGCTGGTCAGAGGAGGTGGGACAGCCACCAGCTGACCCAGCGGAGGTCCAGGTGGCAGAGGGGAGGCTTTTGGCCTCTCCTTCTCCAGCCTGTTGTGGCTTTCCCTTCTCAAAGCACTGGCCACACACACAGTCTGACGCTCGGTCTCGCAGTGCGGAGGTCTCCCGAGGGAGCGCGTTGAGGGTGCAGAGCTCTAGATGCGCGATGCCATCGCCCTCCAAAGCTGCATGCATGCAGTCTCCGGATGCAGAAGGCAAGCCACGCACCCTGCAAAGCTGTGTGCAAGACTCTTGGGCCTGCGTGTCAGAGTTAGCATCAGGAAAAGCCACGGCCACACCACGGCAGATACGAGCTGAGCTATTCTGCTGACTCTGGATCCTGCTTTAATTACAGCAAATCTTTGGCTTAAACTTTTGGTAGTAGTCCCGGCCACTCCTCACCCAGCTACTCCTCCGGGCTTGCTCGTGTTACACAGGCGCATTTGGGATCTGCAGCTGCCTTATAGAAACCTCCTCCGCACACTGCATTGTACCTTCGGGTTAGGGAAGCTGCCCTCGGGCCAGGCCCGTCTGCTGCCCCCCGCGCGGTGCTGGACACGGGCGGGTTGATCTAACCTTGGTTTCAGCGGTGGCTCTCAGCCAGGCTGTGCAGCACCGGGGTCCTTTGAAGGCTGCTATGGGATGCCAGGCAGAGTTTGCCCTGTTAGATGCACAGACGTGAGTCACAAGATCAACCCAGAGGTTTCAAATAGGGGCCCACCGCGTGAACCCGTCCTGTCGTGGGCTCTCCGAGCTCTTTGCCACAGAAAAAAAACGCTCCATATTATTTTTCCCCTGGTCCAAAAAAATGAGTGAGAATGAAGGGCTGACATCTTCCCAAGGGGGCTTGCAGTCTAAGGAGCTTCACAGCTGCTGGGGTTCAGCCTGTTTCAGGCGGGTTTCGCTCTCAGGTGCTCACACAGCACTGGGGTGCTTGCAGTGCAGATGCATCTGCACTACAATGAGGGAAACAGGCTTCACAACCAGGGGTTTCCATGCCGGCACTGAGCAAGCTTTCCCAGGAAGCTCCTGGCTTCTTGGGTTTGCAAGACACGTTCAAGCAGCCCCATGCCTCCAGGTGCCTGGTGAAGGCAAGGCCAAGGGCACTGGAGCTGCTGCGCACGTGGGTCATGGGCTGGGGCTGCCCTGAGATGCTCCTGCCTTGCATGGGGCTGTCTGCGGAGCAGGAGCGGCTGCTTCCAGGTGCATCCAGCCCAGCCCTGCAAGGCGGGGAGAGGAGCCCAGGACCAGTCTCTGGATGCCCAGATTCCCGGATGGGCTGGGGGAAAGGGGAGTGTGCTAGCAAGGGCTTGGAAGAGAAATCACCGTCCAAGGAGGCGTGATGGTTACAATGCAGTCCTTTATATGGAGCTGATACACGCGTGGAGGCCGGCGCACCCTGCACCCAGGGCACAGCCCGCAGCGCATGCACGGAGCCGCTCGGACTCTGCCCCTCCTGCCCCAGCAGCGCGGCGTGACCCAGACCCGGCACGCCCCACCCCGGGGCAGGCAGAGCCCCGAGCCCGGCTTGTGTGGGCCGCGCGGCCTTGGAGCGGCCCGGCGAAGGGAGCATCACTGAGCAGGGGGGGAGGTTGCAAGCCTCCCCCTTGCTCCCTCTCCCCGCCGCGCCCCACAAGACAAAAGGAGCCCCCCGGCCGCTTGTCCCAGTTCAGACAGTGTCTGGTCCTTCCCTGCTGGCCTGGGACCCCGCCAGGCTCTCCGTGACCTTCCTCCCTGCCCCTTGATCCCTGCGGCCTCCTCATCTCCGACCTCGACGGCCAGCCCCCCAAGGCACCCCCATCCCTTGCAGGCCAGGTCCCCTCCTTGCACCCCTCCGTTCCTCCCCCTCTCACCATCACATCAATCCCACCGGCTTTCGGCCGACCTGCCAGCTGTCGGCACCAGCTCCCACGCACGGTCCGGCAGCAACACCGGGCTCCCCTCGGGAGGGGCCACGGCTTGTGCACGCGCACGTGGATGTGCATGTGCCTGTGCACGCGTGTCTGCGGTGGCCAAGCATGTGGATCGAACACCCTCATCCACTGCAAGCCCGGGGCCGGGCTTCTCGGGGCTGGGAGCCGGGGGCGAAATGGGGCCTTGTGGAGTTTGCTCTGAGCTGCTGGAACAAGCAGAGGGGAAGCAGCAGCCAGGCTCCGGGCTGAGCCCTCCTCGTCCTTCTCCCTGGAGGCCCAGAGCTCCCCGTGCTGGGTCCCGGGAGCCCTCTCTCCATCGGGGCTCGTGGCCCAAGGTCCAGACCACGTAGGCCTGCCCGGGGGGCCTAGACGGCGGCCGGTCGGATCAGCATGCGTGTGCCTTTGAGGGAGTAGCTGGGCCCTTGGAAGTGAGGCCACCGGATCCCGTTGAGCTTGCGGACGTTGTGCCGGGCAGGGTAGTAGACGCCGTTGAGGTTGGAGAGGCCGCAGGCGTCGAACCACCAGCCTGCAGGGAGGGCGAGGAGGCAGGTTAGGGGCAGGAGGAGCTGCACATCGGGTGGCCTGCGGCGCCTGGGCGGCTGCATGCCCCAGCTAGAGGCGCGGGGGAGCACCTGCCCCGTCTCATCCTTCACCCGCCACGACCCCATCTTCACAATTTCAGGGGAATGTTGGCTGAGACTGGCAATAACCCCTGTGCCCTCCTTCACCCCCCATCGTGCCAGCCCCAGCCCCAGCGCCTGCAGCCCTCTCACCTCCAGACAGCATCTGGGCGCACTTGCAGAGGCAGTTGTCATTGTCTGCGTCGCGGGTGCTGAAGTTGGTGCCCTGCAGGGCCAGGCCACTGGGCTGCCCCGCCGGGCCGCTGTAACCCCGCAGCGTCAGCCTGGGGAGGGAGAGCGGCGCACATGGGCACAGGGAGCGGGGAAGACGGGGCGACCCGCTCAGCCCGTGGCAGCTCCACTCCCCTGCAGCAATGCCCGCAAACCAGCCCCGTGGTGAGGACACGGAGCTGAGCGGCTTCGACCCGCGGGCAGCCTGGCCCGTCCTCGCCGGGCGCTGCGTGCCTGCCTCACCTGTACAGGTGCCGCTCACTCGCCAGCTGGATCCTCCCGTAGTGGGCATAGGCCTGGTTGCCCTCCCAGTCCAGGAGCTCCACCCGCAGCGCGTAGGGCGCCTGGCTGGTCAGGACGTGCACGGCTTCATTGCCCAGCCAGTGCTCCCCGGCTGGGTCCCCGAAGCCCTGCGAGAGAGGGGGGCAGTCAACACGGCTCCGCTCGGTCTCGCACCCGGGGCGCTGCCTCTCCGACGGCGCTGCCAGAGCTTGGCCCCCTCAGCAGCGGTTCAGGGCTTTGTGCCCCAGAGATCGGACGCCCCCACCTCCGTGCCGGGGGAGCTGGAGGCGGCACAGACCTGTCTGTATTCCTTCCAGCTCCGCTGGAAATTCACGCTGCCGTTGGCCCGGTGCTGGATCACGGTCCAGCCGCCGCGCTCTGTCTCCATGTCACAATACACCTGCAGAGGGGGAAGCAGATCCAGGGCGTGCATCCGGCCCGGGCCACACGCAGCCGCACTGTATGTGGGGGGACGCAGGCCAGGGCCCGGCGGGTTTGACCCCCGGCTCTGCCACACAGTGACCCTTGGTCAAGTCCCTTAAACTCCACACCGCTATAACTGTGGTGATGACGCTGGGCTCCGGAGCTGGGCTGCTGTCCTAGGCAAAGCCTCAGCAGAGGCTGGGCACATGGAAGGGGATTTATTTTTGCCCAGGGTGGGGGAGGTCGTACCCTGCTCAGTGCCCACCTCACCAGCCCAGTGCTTGCAACCCCCCAAGCCCGGCGCGTGGCCTGCAGGGACCGACCTTCTTGGGCTCCGACAAGTTGGCGATGTGGAGCGTGTAGACGCCGCTGGCGCTGGCTCCGGAGCGGTGGATCTCCGCGCAGTCCTGGAACGTGCCCTCCTCCTTCCGCAGGGCAGCTGGGGGGGAAGGACCAGGCGGGGTGAGTGCGAGTCTGCGGGGAGCCCTGGCCCCCCCGAAGCACGCAGAGACCTTGCTCCCCGTGTGTCATGGCCTGTACACGGGATGAGCTGCTGGGGAATTAGCAGCAGTCCTGCTAATCACTCATCAGTGGACAGTAGGAAGGGTCTTGGCCTCCCCTTCCTGTAACAGGCTCTGGAGCCTGGCACCAGTAAAAGACCCCCAGGGACGGGGGTTGAGTCCCACACGGGTGGCTGGGAAGTGGTGGCGTTAGCCAAGCATTGCGTTTACACCGCGCTTTGCATGCACGTGGTAGAGCACAGCAACAACCAGGCTTTGGCAGGGCTTGGACCAAACCCAGCATCTGGAGAGATGGAGCCAGGGTGCCCATTAAATGCCAGGAGAATGGGGGGGTGCACCCATGGCTTGGAGCCCCCAGGGGTTGATGGGGAGCACGCGGCCGCGGCGGCAGGCCTCACCTCTGCCCTGCGAGACGCGCTGGAGCAGGCTGTGCACGGACTCGAGGAGCTGCAGCTGCTGGCGCTGGAGCAGGCTGGCGTTGCTGCTGGCCGCGTGCAGGGACTTCTCCAGGTCCTCGATGGTGTTGCTCTGGCGGCTCACCAGGCGCTGCAGCCGCTGCTTCTCGGAGCGGATCCCCTCCAGCTCTGTCTGGTGCTTGGTCTCCATCTCCAGCACCCGGCCCTCCAGGATGCTGCAACGGGGGCAGGTGCTGGGTCGGGTGCCCCGGCTGAGCAAACAGGGACGGGGAACCCAAGAGCCGCCAGGGCTTGGCCCAGGGAAGCCGGGGCTCAGAGCGCACCTGGATCCCGCCCGTGAACGTCTCGAAGGGCCACAGCCCCTACCTGTTCCTGCCCTGCAGCACGTGGATCTCGTTGGTTTGCAGGAGCAGCTGCTTCTCCAGCTTGTTGGTGGACAGGGAGTTCTCCAGCAGCTGGATCTCGATGCGGGACGTCTGGTTCAGGACCTGTGCCAGGAGCAGAGGGGAAGCCTGATAACGAGGATCCCCCCCTCTTCCTTTCACCCCTTCCCATCTGGGCTGCTCCAGGCTTTCTCAGCAGCCACGTGCCATCATCAGGCACCCAGTTAGACCAGTAAAGGGCTCCCATCTCTGGGAAGCACGTCCTGGTCCTTCTGCGCGAGCGAGCAACAGGATGGCCATGCAGGTGATCGAAGCTGGAGTCTTGCTCTGATCCCTGCCAGGCCCATAGGAAACATGCGGTCTGTACTCTGGCTCCGTAGACCATGTCTTCAGGAGGGGAGATGGGGAAACTGAGGCAGGGGGTGACCCTTCCCAAGTCAGTGGGGGTAGGCAGGCCCCAAGCCTCCCGACTGCCATGCTGAGCCTTACCGGCTAGGGGCCCTGCCCTCCCAGACTAGACGCGTGTGGGGCTGTCCCATACGTCCCCCCCCCACATGCACGGGCCCCGGTGGTACCTGAGCCTCCACGTCAGTGAGCTTTCGGGTCTGCTCGGCGGTCTGGCTCAGCAGCGAGGTGCCGATCTCCAGCATGGTGGCCGTCTGGTTCTGCACCGCGTGCTGCTGCATCTGCACCATCTCCGACTTCACGCTCATCTGAATGTAGTTCTCCAGCTGGGGCGGAGAGGAACAGCCCGTGACCAACCCCTCCGTGCTCAGCCACGGGGCCTCCTCCTGGCACGGCGTCAGCGTGGGCAGCTTCCTTCCCACACCCTCCCGTCTGCTGGTGCCAGGCCAGGCCCGGGGGTGTTCAGACCGCTGACCTGGGGAGAAACGCCCCACGGGGCACAGAAAACCTTCTCGCCATGGCATAATCTCCCCCCCTGCCCTTTAAAGCTTATCAGCAGGACAGTGCGTCCTCTTCCCCCGTCTGGGCCTTGGAAAGACGAACCGCTGGGATTCTTTGGCCCGGGGATTGCTAGAGACTCACCAAGTCCTTAGAGCACCCCCGTTTCCCACCACAGGACCCTGGGGACCTTGGGGATGTTTCATGCCCATCGCTGGGTGGCCCTTGGGGGGGCCCTGCTTCCCCGGGGTTCAGAGTCTCTGCAGCTCTGGGCGCTCGGCATATTTGCAAACCAGGAACAAATCTCATGACAGGATCCAAAAACTCAGTGGACCAGACATTGGAGCTGCTTCTGCATTCGCCGGTTGAGGCCCTCACCAAAGTCTGAGAGTCAGGGGGAAACTAAGACCGCACTGAGTTCTCTTGGGAATCCCAGACCCCTGCCTCCTGCCCTCCCATGATGGCAATGGCGGGTCAAGCAGGCCCAGCTGGGGCAGGGGGACATTTTTTTCCTTATGAAATAGGGCATTTGCCGAAGAATGGGGTTTGGGAGGTTGGAGCCAGGCAGGAACGCAGCAAGTTGCATGGGGAGGGGGAAAGTGAGGGGGAAGCGCTGCACGTTCCAACAGCTTCTAAACTCAAGGGTTTGTTTTTGGAAATGCTCAAATGTTTCATTTTAGGCAGTGTCTAAACAAACCTCCTCTTGACTTTCTGTTTCAGAAGGCACGTTCTGTCTGAACAAGATCTGAGCCAAAACCAGGCCAGAAAAGGCATAAATAAAAGTTTTAGAATATGTTCAAACTAACTCAAACAGTTTGTTTTGGGTCAAGCAAGATGCTTTTCTGACGTAAAGTAAAGCCCAGGGCTTTTTTCAATGTTGCTAAAAACCCTGAAATTACCAGTATTTCCCCCATGATCCAGGTGGCTGCTGGTCTCTCACACCGTCTCGGGACCTCTTCTCCTTGCCCATTCCTGCCAGATCACTGCTGCTGGCCACCTTAAAGGGCAAATCTCGTGGTGTGTACATGCGCCCCGGGAGGTAAGAGCCAGGGTGGTAGAAGTCTGCCGCCTCCATTGCAACCAGCACATGTTCAGGTGCCACTCACCAGCGTCCCCGTGCCTTGCCCGGAGAATGGTCCACACGCATCAGGTGCCCTCCTCCTGCCCACTGTGAATCCCTCTATGTTAGCTTCTGATGGAGGCCAGGTGAGCTCAGCTTTACTTAGCTTGCTCCTTCAAGACAACAGAGTCCCCCGGGGGAGTGGAGGCAGATGTCACAAGCCAGATCCAGCCTCCGCACACTATTCATTAACTCATAATTAGCAGCATCTTAGGACCGTCCTCTGCTCCGGGAAGAGGTGTGTGCTTGCGTGTTCTTCCCTGACCTGGCTGTGACCAGCTTTGCCAGCTTTCATGGTATGAAGCATTTTGCTTCAAGCCTTACAGCTTGCAGACGGGGATCTACAGCAGCTGTGACCCTCGGTCCTCCCCCACCCCCAAAAGTGCCTTTCTCCAGGCTGCGTAGATCAGCTTGAAACACAGACACTGAAGGCCAATCTAGAGGCTGATGAGTTGTAAAATCCCAGGAGGTTTTGGAGGGTGGCTGCTCGGGGCTGCTCTTCCCCAGGTACAATCAGCTTTTTGGACAGAGGCAGCATCATTCAGGGGGTCAAGCACTGACTGGTGACTGCGAAGAGTTGGGCTCCATCCTGGGTGTGCCACTGACCTGGAACAAGTCGTTCCCTTTTGCCTTGCACACTCAGAGCCGTCAGCCACCGCTGCTGGCAATGCAACACGTGTAAGATGTTCCCGGCCTGGAAGAGAAGCGCTTGCTGAGACGCTGGCCCTTGCAGACCCCGCGGGCTGAACTCCTGGCCCAGCCTGGGCTAGACACAGCTTGTATTTATTTGTTCGTGATCCGGGGCGGGGGGGGAAGAGGTTGGTATATTTTACTTTGGCTTCACTGCCAGCACAGCTCTGAATGTGTTGTTTATCTTGTTCCTTCTCCTACGCTGAGGATCTGCAAGCCGAAGACAATTGTGCAGCTGGAACCGCGCAATCCAGATCGGCCTGTTCCCGCCGGCATCCACCCCTTCCTTGCCAGTTTTCTCTGAAAGGCTGGAAATTCCCGTGAGTTACTTTAGGTGCTGTTTTCTTCCCAGGACATTCTCCATAGGTAGCTGGAGAGGACAGATGTCCCCCCAGCAAGGCCGCATCCCGCTCTGTTGCATTTTGGAAACCCGTCTTGGTGGATTCAGTCTCCCCCGTTCAGCTAAACCCTGGTGAGGAGGAGTAGAAGTGCAGGAAGAAAAGCTTTATAGCCCAAAGGAGAGCAGGGGCCGTGGGCTGAGCTCTCTCCCAGCTTTGTGGCAGGTCTGCTCGACGATGTCACCGAATACACCTTGCTTCCGTCACGTGCCTGGGACCATCCCAGCTACTGCATGACCCCAGCCTCAGCGCAGTGGTGGTGGGGGTAGAGATGGGGGCAGATCCCAGAGGGATCAGCTCTAGCTTCATGTCCCCTATGGCTGGTCCGTCTCTTGGGAGGACACGTCGCACCCAGTGCTGGGAGCCCTCCATGCACAGAGCAAGAGGAGCTCTGCCCCGAGGTGCTTGCAGTCCCTACAGAGAGGACAGACAGCCAGCAACGGCCAGGGAGTCTAGGGCAGCATCTCAAGGGGTTAAAATCTGCTGGATGTGTCCCCAGATCTTGCCCTCTGCTTCTTAACTCTGATCTGACCAGCCACAGCCCACTCCGGCCTGTCAAGCACAGCAGACCCCTGATCATCCTGCCTGCCTCTATGGCCCTTGGGGAGCAGAGCAAGGGCCAAACCTCATCCATCGCACACAGCGATTTATGGTGCCATTTTGTAACGTGCATCTAAACAGCACGTATCGTGTGCAAGGGCCCACAGGCAGCAAAACTCGCTCTCAAAGTGAATGGGGGAAAGGCCCGGCAGGTCTCAGGGTGTTGCAAGGTGCAGCCTGCAGCCCGGGTCTGGGGTGAGGGTGGTGCCCAGGGATGATGGCACCCAGCTCTTGGAGGGGAGCACGGCTCTGGCTGATGGACGTGGGTGAGATAAAAGGCACCACTGTGACCAGCTGGGAAATGTCATTGGGCTCAGAGGGTAGTAGTCAATGGCTTGATGCCTAATTGGCAGCCGGTATCAAGCACAGTGCCCCAGGGGTCTGTCCTGGGGCTGGTTTTGTTTAATATCTTCATCAATGACCTGGAAGATGGCACCGAGTGCACCCGCAGCACATTTGCAGATGTGGGGAGTAGTAGTTATGCTGGAGGGTAGGATTCAGACTGACCTAGGATTGGGCCAAAAGGGATCTCCTGAGGTTCAGCAAGGACAAGTGCAAAGTCCTGCACTGAGGAGGGAGCGATCCCCTGCACCGATGCAGGCGAGGGGACGGGCTGGGCAGCAGCATTGCAGAAAAGGACCTGGGGGGACAGGGGACAAGAACCTGGATACGAGCCAGCAGTGTGCCCGTGGTGCCAAGAAGGCCAACGGCATCCTGGGCTGCATGGGTAGCAGCGTTGCCAGCGGATGGAGGGCAGTGCTTCTTCCCCTCTATTCAGCACCGGTGAGGCCACATCTGGAGTCCGGTGTCCAGTTGTGGACTCCCCACTATAGAAAGGATGTGGACACATTGGAGAGAGTCCAGCGGAGGGCAGTAGAAATGGTTTGGGGCTGGGGGGCAGGATGTGTGAGGAGAGGCTGAGGGAAATGGGCTGACTGAGTCTGCAGAAGAGAAGACTGAGGGGCAGATTGAACAGCAGCCTTCGCTCCCTGCAGGGGGGCTGCAAAGAGGAAGGAGCTGGGCTGTTCTCAGTGGGGGCAGACAACAGAAGAAGCAATGGGCTCAAGCTGCAGCAAGCTAAGTTGAGGCTGGATATTAGGAAAATCTTTCTCACCAGGAGGGTGGTGAAGCGCTGGGACAGGCTCCCCAGAGCGGTGGTGCAGTCTCCCTCCTTGGAGGTCTGTGCCTGCTTGGGCGTGCTCGGGCCTGTCCGTCTCCATGAGCCCGGCAGGTGAATCTGGAGTTTGTTCCCGGCTCTGGGGCTGGCAGCAGGCCCAGGAAGGAGAGCGAAGAGTTCACACACTGAAGAGCTGACCTCCTGGCTCCCGCTCCCGCTCCCGCCTGGCTGCCAACAGCCCCGCGCAGTCCTGGGCGCGCTGGCGAGGAAGCTCGTTCACGTGGAGAGCGCTGCACGGCCCAGCCACGAACGCAGGGGCAGCTCTGTCTGGACCCTGAGCCCCCTGCGCCACGGTTCGCAGGAAGGGGAGGACGCAGGCTGCAACTCCAAAGCCCCCGTCGCTCCCTCTTCCTTCAGCTGCTGGGGAAACGCGCCTCCCAGACACCCTTGACTCCTACAAGGGATTTTAGGTGAAGTTTCCACTCCAGCAGATCTCAGGTGACCATTTCTGGGAGGAAGGCAGGGTAATGATGCACCTTTTTTATAGGCCAACTAAATGAGAGAGAAGGCACAAGCTTTTGTGAACCCAAATCACTTGATCAGATGCATTTCTGGGAGATCAGCCATGCCACACTCAGCCCACCGGGACGGAGAAATCCCAACTCTCCTTGCCCCTCAGTGGCGAGGCCTCCTGACCCAGCTCCTTGCTGACCCGTAGCAGGGAGCCAGCGGCCTGCGTCTGGTGGCCGGGAGGGACCGAGGATGGGCGCTGCCTTGTTCAGCCCTGATGCCGCTCTTGTAGGGCTGGCACGGCCGAGCTGAGCAGCGCTGCAGTCGCAGCGTCTCTCGCGAGCTCCCTGGCTCCTGCGGCTGGAGAGGTGTCGAGAGGGCTTTGCACGGGGATTCGGCACATCTGCCCGGTCCCGGCTGGAACCAGGTGTGCAATCACGTGTGCAAACACCTCTGCCTGGATTGCTCCAAGCTCTGCGGCTGAAATCTGGGTGGGAGCCTGACTTCCTCAGACCCTACCACCCTGTCCAGGGCAAGCGTCACCCAAAAGAGACCCATGGAAGTGGGGCCCAGGAGGGAACAAGCTCTGCTCTGGTGCCTGGCTTTTTTGGGGGGTGGAAAGAGGCAGGACTGCAGCCCAGGACGGTTATTGCGGTGAGGGAGGATTGCAGTGCTTTGCACTACTTTTTGCACTTGTTTTCACATGATGAAATCCTGCTGGCAGCCCAGCGAGCT